AAAGCTGGTATTTCGAAAATGTTTTCAATAAGAACTTAAAGAAAAGATAGATAGAGTTTTGATTGTGCAAATTACAGAATTTTTTTTAAAATTATTATTCATAATGTTATTATTATGATCTTGAATTTATTTCTGTTTCTGTTTTCATTTTAGATTAAATCTCTTTCCTTCTTTTCTGGGTGAGGGATATATTTTTATTCATTTCTTTTTTTTAAGAATGAATAAGTTAACACTTATTTTTTTTTTTGATAACTTTTCATTTGCCTTTGTGGATTTTGTGTGTATGTTTGTTCGCTTTATGATTTGCTACATGTATAATCATTACGCAGCTAGGTTAAGGACTCCCATATATACGTCAGTCTATGCAGGGGTTCGGGAAAGCTATTATGACGTCACGTTAAAACAATACAAATGAATCTTGATGAATAAATACTATACGTTCTTTTTAAAACGCACTAAATACATTCGTTTCTCATAAATGTTATAAAGATAAATGGATGTGCAGCTTATCTTGCCATAATAGCACTTAGCGTATGCAGAATGAAAGCAAGCTTGATCTCGCTGTACTTACTGAGATGACGTCATTTCTTAGTTTGACACGCAGTGTCTCTGTATTTGAGGCGTGGGTCAAGCTTTTATCGTAGCTTGTAAAAATAAAAATAAATACGAAACATGCGTAGTCGGGCCAAAAGAAAGACATATTCTGAAATATATCAATCCACATTTTATTGTCAAACTAAATTGATAATGTGTAGACTTTATATATAGCCGTAGGGAGCACATTTGGACAGTAACGTGCTAGAATGACAGGTCCAGCCCCTCGAAAATATCAAAATTTAACGATATCAGCTTCACTATAAATTCTGAATTTTTAAACACGTGTAGCTATTATTCCTTCTATTCTGAAAAGTGCAGGGAGCTGGTTGTACGTTATTTATTCCGTAATCTAACATTATTCCAATGCATATTTCATTTTTGTCTGGAGTTTATAGAAAGACGGCTAAATTTTATACAATTCTCGAGCATGAGGAAGTTGCTCCCAGCACTTTTCGGGTTAAGGAATTTGTCTCAAGGAAAACAGAATAAATTTTAAAGCGGAAAGATGCCCGTATATCGTTGAACTTTTACGATCTTTGTAGTAGTACATATATGGGCCAATTTTAAACCTGTCACGTGACAAACAGCTGATGTAAGCGATGTCACTTTGGCCGAACTCAGCAGAGACCCGATATATACAAATGCAAACACCACAATTCACAATTATCAAAACTACTGCCGTTAAAAAAATATTAAAATTGTATTCATTTTCCCTGAATATATAAAGGCGTATATTTCATGGGCGTCCTTAACCTAGCTGCGTAATGTGATTATCATTTCATATCTTGTACAGGCTAATGAAATTGAAATGAACTAATGAGCTGAAGAAAATATGATCTAGAATTGTTCAAAAAATAACATATAATAGCCCAATCTGAATGAATAAAATTCACCTGAGTTAAATCTGGTTATTAATTTGTTCTAATAAAAACTCAGAAACAAAATTTTTCACGTTTTTTTAATTATATGCAATATATATATATATATATATATATATATATATATATATATATATATATATATATATATATATATATATATATATATATATATATATATATATATATATATATATATATATATATATATATATATATATAAGGTGGACTTTGGCATAAAGTAGACCGCACTTATTTTAAGGCATTAAGTAGACATTTTTCATTTCTTTTATTTGAGACATTCTGATTCACACTTTCACCCAAATTTATTCTAATAGGCTTCAAAAATGAAAATTTTACCCCCTCAGCCCTAAATGTTGCTTCCTGAAAAATATACGACATTTCTGGTCTCCTTAATATTTTGTAAATACATTGGAGGTTTTAGGTAGACATGTATATATTTTATGAGGATCCCGAAGGGTTAAAGTAGACCAAGTATATATAATGCATAAAGGAGACCAGAAAATATATATATACATGATTATGTAGACCATTTTCTTTTTTCTAATTATTTAAATAAAAAAAAACTACACATGCATAAATGTACTTCTCATACCAGTATTTATTGGTCAATTTGCATTTATCTTAAGTAAAATATTAGGCACTTTAAAACCCAGTATGATGATTCCTTATTTTAACTAGAAGGAACTAATTGGGTGATGTCTATTCGTAGACAAATTTTCATGTCCTGAATCTTATGGAAATATAGTAAATGACCGATAGTAATTGTAATGTTAAGAAAATATTTCATCCACCACCAAAGAAACACATTGATTTAAAACTTCGTACTCACATGATGACTTATGGTATAGAATCATCATCTAAGCCACAATCACCTGTACATGCTAGATATGACCTCTTGAAACTATAACATTGTACTTTTCTAAAAAAAAAAATGTAATTTAAGATTTTATATATCCAGTTTATGTCATATACTCTGAGCATAATGAACCCTAAGCTAATATAATATTTGAAAGTTATTTTATAGTGGACAAAAATTGAACTTGATGCAGGGTTGTTATACATCCCCAAGTCACAATTATCCCTTTGCCTTGATTTACATCTAGTATAACAATAATGTGATTGCCCGCTTGGCGCAGTGGTCAGAGCATTTGCTCTAGAGTAGTGGAGTATGGACTTGTTCCTTAAGTCATAGGTACAAATCCCACTGAAGGACATGGAGACTAGTTCTTCCAATGAAACCATATAAACCAAATTCCCTTGTTGCAGTATATGCTGGGACAAGAAAAGACCTCTCACTGCTCAAAATTACAGGTCTAAATTTTCAGCCCTCAACCAGCAAGTTGTGGTGTCTCAATACTAGTGAAAAATTCTTAAAGGGTTTTTATCACGTCTCAAAATTTTTTGATATGACAAAGTTTACATGCTATTAAAATCATATAGTTAAAAATCTTTGCTAGAAAATTAATATTTTTGATGTTTCAACGACTCAAAGTTTGAATTTCTCAATATGCATATTTTGATCGCCGATGTTACGCGCCATTGCTCTGACGTCATAGGTGTCAATCGAAGTACTTATTGTGTATACAAAAGGGATCATTTGTTGTGTCTATTAAACCTGTTAGAAAATAATTAAGAGATAATTGGATAATTGACAGCTAGTAAGGTATAATTTATGGCTTTAGGATGCGCAAAGGTGCACAAAAAAGGTTTTAGGAAGATTTATTTCCCCCACATTTTCCTGGAGTTGGTCGAGAGATGAAAGGGGGGGGGGGGCACTTTTCTGCAAATGCGATGGCGTTTACAGTATCTCTGTTCAGAACAATCGTGTATGCCCTATCGATCACGAATTTTTTTCTGTCCTATCAAATATTTTAAGGAAAGATACTTTAAAAAAAATAATAAATGACAAACACGCATTTTTTAAAAGTCGCTCAGAATCTAGTAGGAATGATGTGAACTTCGTAATGGCGGACGGCGCCATTTAAGAAGTGTCATTTCTAGTACATGATATTCACTGCTGGAACAGATAGAAGATATAGAGGATTTATTCATATATAATTAATTAAAATAATGAAGAAGGAGAATTTAAAATTCCCATATCTATAATTGTTTACGAAGTTAAACCTAAGTAATTCGTTCTATCTCGTCGAAGTCCCGAGTTGTCAACGGCTTCGTTTTTGGTGCCCTCTCCTATTGTAGGCATATTTTCTGGTTATTTCTCTCTGCTAGACGTTCATACGTGAAAGATTGACCGTCCATAACCAAAGTAATATAGTCGATGTCAAAATTTCAACCGGCCATATTCTATTTATTTAGCGTAAAATCTATTCAATATATTTTTTCTTACGATAAGCTTTACGAATTCTATTGACTATTGACACCTATGACGTTTCAGTACCACGTGACCCCTATCTCATTAGTGGAGATTTTTACTTCCAGGACCCTATATTACGGGCGTTTTATCGTCTAATTACGACCGTTTTCAACATAATTTCATAATTAAACGATAATTATATGTTTCAAGAATATAATAGTGTTTCATTTCTAAGAAATGTAGATACGTGATAAAAACCCTTTAAAGGATGTATAACAAACAAACAAACAGAATTATGTGTTTATCTGAATATTTATTACATTTCTAAACCCTATGGCCTTGACCTGTATTAACCTGTGTTAGGACCATACTCTGAGGTTACAAACAATTATTGGTAATACTTTGATATACAGTGACTATGACCTTGTGCAAAAGACCGTTACTACTGGGTCGAGAACATTTCTGGCCACAAGCTACCTTTGTTTCAAAAGATGTCTACTCACAGAGGACACGTAGACTTCACAATTCCAGTAACTTCATTTGTTGTTGTATAAAAATGTCAATATTTCCCCATGCAAAAAAAAGTTTGTAAAACAACCCCTTTTCTTCTAATGTCTAAGATCTCTATCCTAAATACACATTTGTCACAGTCACTGTCTAATTAATTCATAAATCTAAAGGTAGTTCATACAGTCTTATTTTAATTCATATTCTTGTGTCTTTAACATCATTACACTTATAATTTTTCCATGTTTGAATAGACAATAAAAATTGGAAACCATAAATACAATGAATTAGATTTGTTATAACTGTAACAAATAATGCAAATATGTGCAAGTCATGTAAAATTTCATTTTATTTGTAAATGTGTATTACATTGGTGACATTTGTATACTGTTCAATATATGCATAAGGACTTCTATTATTATCAATCTTCACAACATTAGTTTTGTATAAAGTAATAAATAACTAGTATTTTGTACACAAACATAACATCAATAAAAATAACAATCTTTTACATATCTATAAATATACATAAGAGGAATAAAACACTATTTTGAAATAATCATTACATTTTCATTTCTTGTCAATTAAAAAAAAAATGAATAGCATTATTAAACTATTACAACATGTTTTAAACCACAAATGTGTGTTCTAAAATGCATTATATACAAAGTGAGATGCATTGATTAACTGTTCATTATAAGTTGAAATGAAGTTATTACTTATAAAAATACTTTGCATTAAAAAGCAAATCTTTACATAGTTTATTTGATGAGAATATTCCCTCGAACAATAAACTGGCAAGATGTAATACAGACTCTGAAATACCTATACCACCTATTTCAAATAGTACAGTCTGCATTTCATCCATGAGATTATTGACCTTGAAAAATTATAAATGTTTTCTTCTCTTTGAAAGGAACATGTGTGCTATGAAAGGGATATATTAAATAATGTTATTACAAGACATACAAGTAATTTTTATCTTGATAAAAAATGGTGACCTTCTCATGTCAATTAAGAGAACCATTTCACACAATTTGTGCTAGAATCTCATCTACAAGGTGTTGGCAGACAGGCTACCATACTAATACATCCCTATAAATGAGTTGCAAATATAAAAGAAGTACCAGAAAGTCATTCAGAAAATTTTTTAAAAAGCTGGCTTAAAGATGCTACATTTGTCAGCTGAAATGCATCTTTCACAATACATTCCTAGCATATAATTTTGTGCATATTATATGGCATAATGTTTTTGTTGTTGTTTACAGAGCAAAAATAAAAAGTATATCCATGTACAAATGTACAAGAGGGCAAAACTAGAAATATGTCCATAGGACATGAATGCCCCGCTGAGGGTATATTAATTTTTATTTGCTTGTTAATTGTTTAACATCCCTCTCGAGAATTTTTCACTCATATGGAGACACCACCACTTGCCAGTGGAGAGCTGCAAATTTTGACCTATACTCGGCAATAAGGGCCATTAAGCAGTGAAAGATCTTTTTCGTGCCAGCACCTACTGTGACATGGGACCTCGGGTTATACGGTCTCAGTTTGATAAAAATATTTTGAATGGAAACCGTTTATTTAACACTGAGCTAATCACTATTTCAAGAAAAATGAAGTCAAGGTCAAATGAAATGTCAAGGTCAAAAATGTTGATACAGTCGAATACCTTACATCAGTCTGTATCAGCATATGAAGTTTGACACTAATTTAGGAAAAGTGAGGTGAAGGTCAAAGGAAAGATCAAGATCAAAAAATGTTGATGCAGTTGAATAGCTCTCATCAGTATGTATCAGCATATGAAGTTTGATTACGCTATCCTGAATGGTTTCTTTAAAACTGAGCTAAACACTTATTTAAGATAAGTACGGTCAAGGTCAAAGGAAAGGTCAAGGTAAAAAATGTTGATTCAGTATGTATCAGCATATGAAGTTTGATTACACTATCTTGAATGGTTTCTTTAAAACTGAGCTAAACACTAATTTAAGAAAAGTGAGGTCAAAGTTAAAGGAAAGGTCAAGGTAAAAAAATGTTAATGAAATTGAATACCTCTCATCAATATGTATCAGCATATGAAGATTGATAAAAATATCTTGAATAGTTTCTTTGAAACTTAGTTTTGAACTGAGCTAAAAGCAAAGCGGAATGGAAGGACAGACAGAAGGTTGGAAGGACGGAAGACGGACATGACAAACTCTATATGCCCCAGCCATATTCATGGCAGGGCAAAAAATTTCTAGTGTACTGAAATTCAAAACTGCAGTAATTGATAATTTGTTTTTTTTTTTTTAATTCTAATTCAATATCAAAAAACATATACAAACTTTTTTGATAATTTATTCTATTCAAAGCAATAAGAAATGCATCTGTCTGCACTGCTTAAAATTGATAAGAAGGTTATGACATAACTAAAATAATGACCATGTCCGCATTAAATTTAAAATATAATGAGTGACAATTCACTTCACCTTTTCTTTGGCTTTCATTCCATTGACTTTTCTTTCTTTAAAAAAATTGTGCTTGTGTAGTACTCCATCTCTAAAAAATAACATATAAGTGAAAGTTTAAGGCACTCAATGAACTCTCTCATCCCTTCCTTTACTGTTCAAGAAAAAAAAATGCATACCACAAGCATAGTTTAAACATGTAACTAGACTATGATATTTTCATACATAATGTCACCAACTTTATAAAGAATTGTGAATGCATTTCAAAGGTGAGCACATGTGAATTGAATTAAAAATACCAGTATTGTGAGTATCTCGCAGTTATCTAACTTACAACCGCTCTTTAGCATGGGAGTCGAGGAAGCTCTAAATCTCACAAGATTTCTGGGGCATAACATTACAGTGCTGACAATGGAATGATTCGAACAATCATTATGCCCAAACTACAATGTATTGCCAAGAGTTGAACTCCAAATAGTAGATTGTCAAATAAGGAAAGTTTAGAGTATTTTATCAACTTTCAAAAGTAACGGTTTTCATTTAGAATTTAATAAGAAAAGTCTGCTTAGTAAAAAGTATCGTAAAAAATGTAACATATAGGACTAGCTCCTCTCAAAAATTTATTAGGCTGGTTCAGTGCATGTTTAGCAAGATATTTCTCTAGGATTTCTTTCTTATCAGTCCTTATAAATTCCACAATGATCGATCATGCATTGCATTCAATAGTACACTGCCCCCATCCAACAGACGTTTCCTACCTCTGTGAAAGAGTTCCGCTAATTTCAGTAATCACGATATCAAGTATTGTTGTTTACCCTTAAACATATGTCAATAAAAAGAATTATTTCGAACAGATCAAAGCTTAAATTTTGAGATTATTACCCTTGGTATGCTTTTTTTGTTTTTTGTATGGATGAGAGATTTGTTTATTGACAGCTGCTTTTTCATTAAAAGTGGAACTCAAAAATTAACTTATCTTGTCATTGGTCATTTGCAAAATTATTTGTAAAAAACACTGATTGTACACACAAGTACTCTGAAGTTGATATTAAAAAGATTCTTGAGTTTCTGATTGACAATATCTTTGTGGTTTTTAAAGACAAGGTCTTCCAAAAATCTCTTGGAATTTCCATAGGTACCAATTGTGCTCCGTTATTATCAAACCTATTTTTGTATTCATACAAAGCAGAATTTATTTAAAATCTTATACATGAGAAGAAGAAAATACATGCTGTCGCCTTTAACATTTAGATATATTGACGAAGTACCATATTGTCACGTGAAAAGGCCGTAGTCTTGTAATAGACACACCCCCAAAGGATTTATTCGTTATAACAAAAGATTTGACCTATAGGAAAGAACTATTTTCCGGAAAAAGTCACATTTAAAAATCAATGTTCTTTAGTTGTTTTCTATTGTATATTTGTCTAAATTTTTCAAATTTGCATTTTAAACGTAATTTTTTTTATTTGCAACTTTGAAATTAACCTCCAAAGTTGGTCAAAACAGTATTTTGTCCATTAAAGCACTAATTTTTACGTGAATTTTGGCATAGAAGTCTTTCAGGGCAGGCCTGCCCCTAAATTAAATTTTGATAGATTTTGATCTAAAGAATGATTTAAAACAAGATTTTTTTAGGGGCACCCCTGCCTTAGGGTCGAAATTCATGAAAAACCTACAAAAATGAGAAAAACCTAGTTCTATCATACTGGATTACATTTATGGAGTGCATTTTCATAGTCATTATAGCGCAGAGAAATAGACCGCAGATTCTTAGAATGGACCTTTTTTTATGTCCTGGTTCGAATCCACCTGTTGGCACACTTTTATTTATTTATTTATTTTTTTCAAATTTTACACGTGTATAAACACGAACTTTAATTTTTTATACAGGCTTTTGCATTTTACTTCCACTTTCTTCTTTAAATGTGTGTTTGCTGTTGATATAAAAGACATTTATGGAAATGCAGATTATAAATTCTCTTTAACTAAACGCAATCAACCGAAACTGTATACCTCAGTGTAAGCACACTTTGTTCGAGGACACGAATCATTCACTTTGTGTTACTCGATACTGCAAATATCACGAAAAAAAATCATGACGAGCAAAAATTGTTGTGTTTGTCTTTCAAGAACATCTCTGGTTAGTAGATAAGTAGTGTTGTGCCAGTGGGAGAGATACTGCGCTATGCAGAGTAGATGTAGTTCATTCCTCGGGAAAATTGAGTGCATTGGCGACATGTTACGTCAGAAATGCAGGAGGAAGGTTTACAGATTAGAAAAGAACGTGGTAAGGTCAGTTAAGGTTTTATCTCCCGTTGCCATTACCCAGGCATCAAGTAAGGACCCTCATACAAAGGATGTATATGTAAATACCGATGTAGGGTCATATGAACACACAGTTGACTAGAACTAAAACGATACATGAGAAACAAGAAACTACATGCATGTGGCCTAAAGTCAGCGACCGGAACGGATATCGATAAGCTTTTTCTAAAGAATGAAACCAATATCGGCCCTATAGGTCACGCATATATTTACCTAGAAGTGATCCTTTGTGGGGAAAATCCCGAGAAAAATGCAGATCCTATGGAAAAAACACTACCCCAAAAAGCGGATGTATCTCTTATTTTCACAGCACAACTATTCCAAAGAATAAGTTTAAAAAGTTAAAATATTCGTATTATTTCAAAAACAAAAGTAGGATACAACTTTTAATTTTCTTGGAAAATTCAGTTTACATATAAGCTTTATTTATAAGTATTTAAGTATAGTCTGTATTTTAATTGTTATTTGATTGGTATAAATTAAAAATTAAGTCCCTTATTTTTTTTCCCCTATATCCCTAAGCATTTTACGATATTGTGCTGAAAATGCATTCCAAGCAGGTGTCTGCTTAAGTAAACAAATCCACAGGTACTTGTGGACAGGACCCCCCCCCCCCCAATATTCAACCCCGGGACTTGTTGGAAATTTTTTTTCACAAATTATATTTATTGCACTTATTCATCATGTGTATAATAGGAAAAAATCGTGAAAACCCCAAAATAATCGTTCCACACAAAAAATGCCCCACTATACATTATAAGAGAGAAAGGTATGCCACTCCGGTTTGTTTACGTTGTACCCCCACTGGTCTTTCTGGGTTTAAAAAACATGTTTTTATTTTATTTTAACCTAAAATGTCAGTTCACACTGTCTCTACATATATTTCTGTTTTAGTTCATGCTATCGGATTGGCTCTGCATCTCGTAAGAATCCCACAATTAATCCAGTCAGTGCGTTGAAAAAATCCTTAGGTAAACGCAACGGAAGTGCATAGAGAATATATTACCTATTATGAAAACACCCGAGAGAGATTATTACGTCAGGGCAAAACTGTTTACTTCTTAGAGAAAAGTAACACTTAGAAAAGGATAATAAACAAGAATCTAATATACCATGAAAATCCTTAAGAGCAGTGAGGAAACACTTAAAACATTACTTTCCAAGAAACATGCATTTAATATTACATGTACATAATCAATTTATAAAATTTTAATTAGGGATGGAAATAAATAATATCCAAACATGAAACAGATGTGTCAGACTCTGTGGTATCTTTTATTTCAAGCTCACTGGGGTATATATAGAGTTGATATATGAATGGAAATAACTATTGTTAATTGATAATACATCATCGATATATCTCAATGTCGAGTTCAAGACCACAGCAAGTGTTTTCTTCTTCTCATGTGTAAGATTTTGAATAAATTCTGCTTCATTTGAATATAAAAAGAGGTCTGCTAGCCTAATAACAGGTTGCAATTGGTACCCATTGGAATTCTGACAGATTATTGGAATACCTGGTCTCCAAAAACTACATATATATTGTCAATCAGAGACTCAAGCATCCAAAAACCTGTATTACTAAAGTATAGCTCAATATGATCACCAAAATCATCATTGCTTGACATAATATGCATGTATAATATTTCTTTAATATTAAAAACATTTTAAAAGGCCCTAATTAAGCCATCATTCTGACATTTATTTATGCATGATTGTGTATACTTTATCAACAATCTCTGCCACTTTCATGCTGATATGGCTACTTTTTGTATTTCTCTTGTTGGAGAGCTATAATCTCCAAACTTGTGTATTGAGTATAATAACTTTCATCCTTTTCATATTGGCCTAGGTGAAAACAGATAATACTACAGGTCACTTACTCAGAAGGATTACTTGATTTTGTTGATCATGTTGATTGATGGTAGTCTGCACAGTAGCGCTAGCAGTTTCTTTTTTACCATTTCACTGTGAAAAAAAAAATGTGGAACTTATTATATATTAAAAATATTTACCACTATATAAGCATTGGTGATATGGTCATTGCTCTTTTTTGTAACAAATCAATTAAACACTGTACCTTTATATAGTACAAATTATATTGCATGTACTTTCGATCAATCTATTTAAAAAACATCAGATTAATTACCAATAGGTTCTTGAATTTTTAGTTTCTGTTGCATTGGGCCGAAATTACGAGAAAAACTTTATTTTGAACAAGCATTTATATGTACAGTATTGTACTTGCATACTTAAATACCTACTATAATTAAGATTAAACAAGCATTCTGAGAGTATTGCATTAGCAATACTAGTCCCCTACCGGCAAGTGTAATCTGGTTCCCACTAAAAATTGAATTGCCACAATTCCATTAAAAATCATTGATTCAGAAGCATAATAAAATGCAAACTTGAACTGTAACTCATCAAGATACACTTACATACCAAAACTCAGCTCAATATCTGCAAGCGTTTAGAAAAAAGTGCGGAAAACAAATGGGACAGACTGAAAGAGGGACAGACAGACAGATGAACAGACTCAGAGGAAACCTATAATTCCCTCTGGTTTCACCGGTAGGGGACTAATAAAAAAGTGGGAAAAAGCCACCCTGTTAAGCCGTACTTTTGTCTCCCATGGAGTGAGTGAGTGGAAAAAGGTCTTATGCTTGGATATGTTGTACATGTACTTTGTATCAATCTGTACATGCATAATCCATTGGCTAATGAAAGAGGCAATGTATTCGTAATGTAAACTTTTAAATGTAGTGGTAACGTGTACATTTTTTGCAGCGGTAATGAGTATGTAGCGGTAAATAATTACCATTTTGAAAATGTAGCGGTAATGATATTCACCTGGATAAAGAAATGGTCTATCTATTCCAATCACATTTTTTACAAGATAGGGCACTTCTTATTTGCTGTACATATAATTGTTTTCATTTTCACAGGGCTCTAACACTGCTTTTTGGGAATGGGGCCGGGTTGTAAAGATTGGGAAAATAAAGACCTTTTAGGAAATTTTAGAATAACCATTATACGTACTTTAAAATCATATATATTGGGTTTCCTGTCTTCGCTATCAACTAAATTTGTTTTATAAAACAGAGGAATATGAATAGCAAGTTAAGTTATTACCGGTATATATCCAGCTATATTTTCTTTAATTTTTGGGAGAAATGACTATTGGGAAAATTAACACATTAATTGGGAAAAAAGGTACCTTTTTTGAATTGGGAGTGGGGCCCTTGAACGGCCCCAATTATAGACAATTGAGAGCCCTGTTTCATATTTGAGAGGTCGATTTATAACCTTCGTTCTTCATTTTTTTAAGCTTTGGGTGTGTGTTGATTACAACATATCAAACGCTTATCATATGTCAAGTGACTTATCTTTAAGTTATTGTCAAAGAAATTTCAAGTCTGTTAAAATCTTAATGTTTAAATAACTTGTGCCCTGTAGGAAATAAGATTTTGTAGCAAATAATCTTTACAACCGAGCTGCAATTTTCCCCAAGTTATAGGCTGAAAAAGGGGGTGCATATTTAAACCAATGCATATTACATTTGGCAAGATATGGTAACTGCTTGATTGTCACATTTCAGTTTGAAACATGTTACAAGTTTTATTTCAAAAAATGAAAATATTATTGAAAAAGTAAATACAAATACTCATTGACAAAAACTATCTACTAGGGATGGCAATTTCTAACTGGTTAACCGATTACTCGGTCGGAACGATGGCAATCGGTTAGAAAATCTGCAATCGATTAGACGAAAAAATATTAAAAATATATGTAAAACTGAAGGCAATGTACTAAAATTCATTTTCAAAATAGAAATTCCTACCTAAACGTTTAATTTAGCGTTTTCATTTATTTATTTAGGCTGATTGGGGGGTCATTATGGCTCTCCAGATTTCAATTGCGGGGTAATTGGTCAGTCTGAGATATGTTAATTACTGTTAAAACATCATGTCGTTACCCCGACTGTCCTCTAATTCTTTAATGATAATAATCACCGTTGAGCACCGTGAATTGGTGTGTGTGTATCTTTTGCAGTTATCTATAACATTAAATTATAATACAAACATTGTAAATTAAGTGATACATTTTAGACTTAGTTTTGATTATAGTGATAATGAAGAATGAACTTGTGTGACATCTGCTCTGGAAAATTATCCACGATATCTCAGGCATGGTTCATGGTTTTTTGAATTTTTTCTTGTCTATTGAAAAAAATATGCGCATAGTTTTATCATCAAGACTAAAGACAAATAGAATGATTTTGACCTCTAACATCTTTTTTTAAGACTTCTTGTGCATAGGAATAGAGCTACTTGAAAAAAGTCAAGAAAATGACATTGTGTAGTTTGATACGATTAACAGGTTAATCGGTCGGAACATCTTGCGGTTAACCGATTTGCAATTCTGTATTCGACTGTCATCCCTACTATCTACTAAGTGGTTAGTATGTAGATTGTAACTGGTTACAAAACTGGTTATGAAAATTTCAACTGGTTATGATCTTTCTCAATAGTTAACAAGCATTCTGAGAGTATTGCATTAGCAATACTAGTCCCCTACCGGCAAGTGTAATCTGGTTCTGTTCCCGTTAAGAATTAAAAATGCCATAATTCCGTCAAAAATTAATGAAGCGGGACGAAATGCAAACTTGGTCTATAACTAATCAAGGTAAAGCCACATACCAAAAATCAGCTCAATATCTACAAGCGTTTTAGAAGAAAATTGCGGAAAACCCATAAAAAATTGAAAAGGCCGTAATTCCGTCAAAAATCAATGAAGCGGAACGAAATGTAAACTCGATCTGTAACTCATCAAGATACACTCACATACCAAAAATCAGCTCAGTATCTGCAAGCGTTTAGAAGAAAAGTGTGGAAAACCCGTAAAAATTGAAAAGGCCGTAATTCCGTCAAAAATCAATGAAGCGGAACGAAATGCAAACTTGATCTGTAATTCATCAAGATACACTCACATACCAAAAATCAGTTCAATATCTGCAAGCATTTAGGAAAAAAGTGTGGAAAACCAAGTGGGACAGACTGACAGACAGAGGGACAGCTAGACAGACAGACAGACGGACGGACAGACTCAGAGGAAACCTATAGTCCCCTCCTGTTTCACCGGTAGGGGACTAATAAACCAGTTAATCATTACCATCCTTATTTTAAAGATACTTTGTGACAAGTTTGATTTAAACTGGTCCAGTAGTTCTTCAGAAGAAGTTGAAAAATGTGAAAAGTTTATGCATGACCCAAGCCTTTGCTCATGCAAAAACATACAAAAACAGATAGAAATATGTTACCATGGTTTCCTAGGTAATTCAGTTAACTTATATCAAAACCACACATTGTCATATAAATAAGACTAAGAGTAAGTGCTTTTCAAGGGTCCAGATCAGCATTCGATCAGTATCAAAGTATCATGCATGGTCTTTAGAGTTTTGTATATGCCTTTTGTCTTCAATGGTAACCTGTACTTATACATGTACTTAAATATGGCCATTGAGGAGACCACTTATAATTAGGCATAAAGTAGACCAGTGAGAAAAATTGAGTAAATTGAATTAACCCTTGATATCAAGTATATACTGTATATAAATATACCATTCTAATGATCTTATTCACTATATGCATCAATACCCTGTATTACATTATACTGCATATCAAATTAAAACTTATTTATTGTGTCACAACTGAAGTGTTGCTGGACTGAAAGACATAAAGATGGACAATATGTGAATTCTATAGAGCTTTATCATTTCATGCAGGCCCTACCCTAATGTAGATTTTCCAAAGGGTTTGGAAAAGTTTTGGAATTCCATGGAATTCCAAACATTTCCATACAAGAATCTAAAAGTGTTTTTGGAAGTTTTTGGAATCTTTTGGAATTTGAATAACAAATTTGGACTTAGACATTTTGAGGTGTGGAAAGTTGTGGAATTCTATGGAAAAGCTGATAAAATGAGAAACTTAGACATTTTCTGCTCTGGAAAGCTGTGGAAAATAAATTAGAATTTTTTCTTAAACTGTCGGCTCATAGTACAATTACGTCGGGATCGATGTCGGGCTCGATGAACAATTAATTTAAACTACAGCCCGCCAAAATTCAACAATTCATAGTTCCGACTTTTCTCCCGAAGCCCCGCCTACCTTAGTTACTGTAACTAAGTCCCACATGATGGCGATACCGGCTTCATCATCCTCGGTGGCGACCGACAGTTTAAAGTCGATTCCGGACGATTTCTGTGTGAAATACCTACCCAATAGTTCAAAATTATCTGAAAAAGTTTTACAAAAGGGTTTGAATTACTTTACCCAAGGATATATCCATAATATTAAGATTTTCAGTTTGGATAACTCCGTACAAGTTGCAGCACGATGCTGGAGGTCCATGCGAAAAAATCAATCGCCGCACCAACTTAGTTTGGAAATAAAGAATAGTTCGATAACCGAGTCTCATTGCTCCTGTAAAATTGGGTATGTGTATAAATCACCCAAATGTTTGCGTATTTTTCAAGAAAATCTTGATAAATCAGGGTTTATATAGGTTAGGCCTAGGCACCTAGAATGTAAACATTTGTGACCTAATTAATTTTCACGGTAGATATATGCAAACGTGATATAAATAAACGCTTGGCTCAGGATTTTTTTTTTAATATATAGGGCCTAATGAATAAATTCAGACAAAATACACATAAATATTATTGGCCAACTTCTCTATTTACTAGGCCAAACCGAATTCTTTTCAAGTTGGCATCTTTTTTTTTTTTTGGATAGGCCTAGGCCTAAATAATTTAAAAATCCTCAGGTATGCATACATGTACACTAGAAATAATGCTGGTCAATTTTCCTTACAGCTTAAATGGCCACTGTTCCCATGTAGTTGGGCTAATAAAAAGTCTGCAAGGGTTCAAACTCCATAATTTTTCAAATGTACCTGAACAACAAAGTTGTACAAGCATCCCACAGCAGTGGCATGTGCCCAGGGGGTCAAAGATCAAGCCTGTCCCTATAAATCATGTGGTGGTAGCAAGACCAACTGAATCAAGAAAAAGGAAGCCTGTGACATGCCAGTTAGACTTAAATCAAGAGTATGTGAAAAAGACAAAGACTTTCCTCTTTTAGAAATATAACCATTGTATTTTTAATAATACAGTATTCTTCATGGCTACAATTAATTGGCTATAAATATGAGATCAGATTTTATAACAGTCTTAATAATAAGATAAAAATTATCCACTTGACAAAATCTTAATTCATACATCATATTTTAATATCAGTCTACCCAAAGTGTCCAAAAATGACATAATGCAGCTGAGTTCATTTAAAGGAACCCCTCTGGAATACACAGTATCAGCAGAGCATCCATTAGTAAACACTCCCCTTGGTGATGTGCAGATAGGCTCAATATTGTCATATCAGGTACATGTTCACAATAACCACAATAAATATTTATTTTAAAAATATAAATGCAGTTGAGGAACTGCCTATAGTTTAAAAATACAGTACATGTATATATAAATTATCCACTGAACAATGCTAAATGCAAAAATCAATGATATGGGTCACAACTAACATGAATAAAGTAGACTATTTACTATGTTTATTGTCTGTTACAAACACATCATGGAATAATGTCAAGTGACAACATACAGACCAAATTTTGTTAATATTTTTAAATAATGATGTTGGAATGCGCACAGACAGTATCTTGTAGGTTTTAACTTTAGCAATAAGTCTTTCAATGTGCACACGATGCTTTGCAATTTTTTCAGTAAGGATGGTATCTGAAACTGACATCTGAGATGTTGATGAAGCCATTGGTGGAATATTCAGCAGCAAATTAAGTTTAAATAATTCTTCCTTAATAGTAAAACCTTTATCAGCCATAATAGCATCACCATCTTTAACATAACCCTTCAACTTTAGTGTTTCAAGAACATCATAAAACCCAGACTGTTCACATATTTGTTTATCTGAAATACATCCTGTAAACAATTCGGATGCAAAAATCACTGAACCATTTGGATCACAACCAATTAATGCCTTTAAAGTAGTACTAGACTTATAATCACTATAAAGCTGACTTTGCAAACCAAGTGCACATGGTGCTTGTGTTCTAAATTCAGTCCCATCAATTATTATTAAAGTTGTGGGGTAATCATGTTTAAAATCTTTTGGCATGTTATTAATAATAATATCACGATGTGGCCAAATACAAAGTTGCCCTAACTTTAAGTACATAAGTGAAATCCAAGTATTGAATACAATTCCTGATGACTGTAGTGAAAGTTTAAACCTTACTGATATATCTTTAAGACCAAAGTTATGTCTTAGTCTACATAAAGTTAAAAACAGTCCATCTTGCAGTGACAATTTCCTAATGTCTTTGCGACCCTTTTCATAATTTATCGAGGATCCATCAGATACCAAAAATGCCAGAAGACTAGCAAATCTAATGTACACAATACCAGTGTAATATTTAAATACATTTTTCAACTTTCCCTCTCTTCTTAATACTTCATCAACTCCAAATGTTGGCTTCAGATTTTCAGATTTCTGTTGATCTTTAAGCTCTTTTATTTCTGTTTCCAGTTTGCAGATGGTGTCTTTATACTGCTTCTCTTTTTCTCTTAACATGTGTAGTCCAGCAGCCATTGCAAACATATCAATCCCAGAAACCCCTAGAAAAGAAATTAATATATTTGTACTTCAATTGCTGATACTGTGAAATATTTTTCAGACAAAAAATATTAAGGAAGTTGAGCCAGCAATGTCAAATGGTTGTGGCAATACAGATGTGTTTCACCAAGCCCCTGTTCCTTTGCCACTGCAGTTTACAGATTTAAATGAAGATTACAAAGAATGTGAACCTATTGAAATTGAAATCAATACTCGCGAACAAAGCGAGTCTGCACTGTGGTATAATGAACGAAAAAAGCGACTAACTGCTTCTAATTTTGGCAAAATCTTACAAAGAAAATCAACACCTAATGACAAATTTTTAAAAAGCTTGTTTAGTTTAAAAAAGATTACAGCCCCCTCTTTGGATTATGGTAAAATTCACGAAAAAGATGCGAAGTCCAGATACTTAAAAGACTACCCGTCTAGACATATTCATTCATGCGGCCTTGTTATAAACAAGGAGTTTGCTTTCTTAGGGGCAAGTCCAGATGGTAAGGTTTGTGACAATGGCCAATGTGGCCTTTTGGAAATTAAGTGTCCTTACTCTGCTAGGAACATGACAATCACAGAAGCATGTGACAATATTAGAGATTTCTTTTTGTCTGCTAACAATGACATAATTACACTGAAAAACACTCATGCATATTATGCACAAGTTCAGGGTCAACTCCTGATCACAGGTTGTACATTTTGTGATTTTGTTGTTTTCACACAAAAGGATATTTTTGTAGAAAGAATACAGCCTGACCTGCCATTCATGGCCACTATGCTTCAAAAATTATGTGTTTTCTTCAAAACCTATGCAAAACCATTTCTTGCAAATCAAAATGTACAATACTGAATAAAATAGAGAAACATTTTGCTTACAAGGTTCTTCTGTTTGTACAGCAATGTTGCTACTGTTGTTAATTTTGATTGGAACTTCATTCTCCATTGAAGTTGAATCCACACTGCCTTCTCCATCCAGGGTACTGTAATAAACAAAGCATTTTTTTTAACCATACTAGTTCATTAAAAAAATGAACTTTCAATGATCTGTGTGGATACAGTTTACATATGGGATTCTACCTTAGAATTCTCTTTTTTGATGACACTGTGTGATTTTCAGAATAAGTCCGTTTGAGAGGTGGTCTTGTTGGCCGAAGAACTGAGCCATCAGCTGGTATTGGATCTGGAAACTGCACAGTTGGTCCTTACCTCCAACAAAATGCTGTAAATGATTTTAAGAAAATAATTAAACTTAATAGTATGTCCGAAATTTTCTGCTACCGTACTGGTATATTAAATGCATGACAATTTTTTAAAAGATTTTTCGTAGTCAAAGAAATACAAAACGCACGATCAGTCCTAGTCTGAATCATATTCTGTACACAGTCATCTTTATAAATAAAATTATTCCCTTTTTTCTCTCTTTCAACATAAAATAAGCCTAAAGCTATCCTCACTTTAATGCCACCCGAATTTGCACGAAAATGTAGCATAATCTTGTACATCATGAATAGCGATTTACCTCGTTCTTGCATGTTTTTTTAAATAAAATTTAATACTTATTACCCTTTGAACATGAAAATATCAACAGTCATACCTTTGAACAAACTGCTTTATGTTTATTTATCCGCTGGACGTTCAGCTGGTCGTGTGGGCGCCCGCATGCCTTGATCCAACGAAGGCATTTCTCAAGATTAGTCTAAGGTTTTGGGAACAAAATAAGCTTTACCCCATTCTCTAACCTCTCTGGGTACCTCTCATCAACATTACAGGTCCCCCAAGCGCATCGCAAAACCATTTCGCCCAAAAGTTTGGTCTGCCTTACAGACTTCCCACAAGTTTATTTGTGGGACAACATGGCCGCCGATCGAAGTGTCTCTGTGCCTAATTATGCGTAACGATCTGATTGGCTGATAAAAAGCATTTGATTGACAGGCCGGAACTATGAATTCGGCTGCCATGTTGTATTGTTGGACAGAAGGAAAGAGAGTGTCACGAAGAAGGGAACTGCTGTCATTATTAGCTTGGAATGGAATTTGTATTTTGACAAAAGATGCAGACATTTTAAGACCCGGTAGGTACAATGTACAGTAATCAGTATTTTATGTGTTCTTGAAGTTGAATGGATAATTGACTGTTCCTCAGTCTGGGCACCACACACATAGAATGCCCGACGATGAAACCATTAGGGCGAGTTTCATTTCTTTAATAATTATTGTACAACTCTAAACATCTCTTATCAAAATATGTTTGAACAATGTGTGGATTTCAACCCGAATTTCCTCCGTTCGTACATGTCCTTAGACCTCGCTATATATGCGAGTGGCACGTTGCCAATTGCACCACGACAGTCCATGTTACATCGTACACAGACATCATAGTGTCTCCAATATGTTGCAACATGCAACATCTAAATTGGCTATCTTTACCATGTTTACAACAAAGAAAAAACGTGTAGACGGTGGTAGACTAATAATGCTCTATAAGCTGTCTATGTGATATAAAGTTGTGCACAACTTAGTTGCGGTAGACCCAAGCCTCTATTTAGTTTCACAGACTACCACCAACAAAGGCATTTCAGGTCTTCCTTACTTTCAGACCTTTAGTACTTGCACAGATAATTTAAATATAGTCCCCCCCCCCCTATTATGGAAATTTATTTCTCTTCCATGCTCAGTGGTGTCGGCAGCCTCTTTGGGGCCAGTTCAGAACTCTGGTTCGAATTATTAGCTAATAATATTCCTTAGTACATGTACTACTAACATTTACAGAGTACATTGTAAATAATTGTATCTATTTTTTAATGCATGTTCATGATCATTCACAGCACTTACTTTTATTATTTTATAGCTGAAGTACTCGATTTGCACAGCGCCGGCATATAATCATCAAGTTTGATGAAATGTCCTAATATGTAGATGTAGATGCTATTTCATTCAGTCACCTAGCTTGTGAGAATGGTGAGAGCCTGCTCAAATTATCATTCAGCACAAATAAACTAACATTGTTTTTATTTATTAATGTTTTATAGCGTAAGATTTTTTTTATTGAGCAAGTAACAAGAGGTTTATATTCTTTATTCCTTAATAATGCATAACAATTATAACTTTTGACGGGTAATCTAAACATGCTAAATGCTACATGCATAATCATTTTACATTTTATTTAAGTATAAATATTAAAAATGACTATACTCTATGACATAAAATCATGCATGCATTATTTACAGGAATGCTCACAAAAAGGACAAGAGCGAGAGAGCTGTATGGAAATTTACACAAAGGTAAGATTTTTTAATCATTTTCCTAATCAATAAAATCAAAAGAATTGAAATTATGTGTTTATCAATGTTAGCCAGGCATTGAGAAAAGTTATTATGAACCTTAGACTCCACTCTTTCAAATATATTTTAGTTATTTTAAGAAGTTGTTGCTTTTAACTTGTTTCCTATGTCAGTTCTCTGTCCTGTTCACAAGTTTTTACCTACGCCTTGTCAATGTCATTCATCATATTCTTACACAAACCTATAACCTTAGTCGCAGATATAAATTTCCAGAAATAAAGAAGTACATGTATACATGTACTAATATATTATCTTACTCAATACTGAATTGTTGAGGCATGGAAGTTACATGTATTTATAACAGTTTATTTAATATTTTCTTAATTTTTCAAAAATAAAGTGTATGTACATGTACATGTATTTGCATGTTTGAAGCCTAGAACAAATGTATTCTATATATTCACTTTATGTTATTTGCTTTGTCTATATTTTTGTTACATTGTAAATTAACCAATGTGCATTTAAAGCAATTACATATGCCTATAAATTCGTCTTTTCCTCTTTTCAAGGGTCAGTTAACGGAGTAAGCTGATATGGAGGATAATATATCAAAGGCAGCATAGGCATCCAAACTCCTGTTCAAGGTGCTTTTAATCAGAAGCTTAAGAGACAAAAGACGAGCCATTGACAAGGCAAAACTGAATGTTTTATATGGTATATAAATTATATTTACTAATGTACTTTTTTTCATACCTTAACTTTATTTGCTGAATGTTTTTAAGGGTACATAGTTTATGTAATTTACAATGTTCTCTCTCATATTCAAGGTTAATTAACTTAGACACAATCATGTCTCTTTATTTTTTTTTTAATTTCACAACTTCCATTAGTTTAAAAAGAAATCAATCCTAATCTGAACAAAAAATTACAAGATAATAAATTCCTATTCTACAGTATTAAACTGATCTGCCAGGTTGAAAGAACCAATTGTCTTATATAGCTTTAGTTTATTATTTGTCATATATTTATACATGAGATAGATATCATACATCTTTATGGTAATCTTTTCTTTCAGAAATTGAGCAAGAAAAGTTTGAAGTGTCTTTGGGAATGATCAACATCAAACTTACTGAGCTTTTGAAGCCGTCGTACCAAAAGTGAATCCATTCGTGACACCAATTATCTGACCACCCTCTAACAGAACCAGTGAGGAAGTGATTCTAGCCAATACTTCAGAAGTTTAGGACCCTCAATAATTAGGATCTTGGGGCATGTTGGGGAAAAAAATAGCATGTGTTGATTTTATGGGATCTTTCAAATATAGTTGTGTAGTAGATATTTGTGTACTTAATACATATGTTTGTCACTCTAGTCATTAACTTTGTATGGTAAATGTATATGGACCACTGGAAGATCATTGTAACTGTATACAAATGTTGCAGATATACCCTGTTAAGGCTTTAGTGACCTTTCCCAAGGTCATTCAATGAAGCAAAAGGTCATAATTAATGGGTTTTTTTTAAATCTATTTTGTTTTATTATTAAAAAATGTCATATGTTTGAGATTACTCTAGGTACAAAGGATTTTCTTTAACCAAAAGTCATTTGTTTCTCATGCAGACCGTAATTTACTACATGTACATGCATGTATATTATAATAATTCTCATTAATTAAACCAAGGTGATCATCCAGTAATGATATTTTTCTGTGGATTTTTAACATTGTTTAAATAATCTTTGATGTAAAATACTTTCATTGATAATACTTTTTAAAATTTGTGCTTTCATTATACATAGAAGTGTGTATGCAATATTTGTCCCCAAACACATTGTAAAGCAAAAATGATTTTTTATTTTGAAAATATAGATTTGATTTATGAAAAATTGTGATGTAGTCATTTTTTTTTTGTAATTATTTGGCCCTTAAATTATTTTGATTATTCCAGTTTTTGTATTTTCCTGGAATTCCTTGGATTTCCGTGGAATTCCATAGATTTCCAAATATCCTGGAATTCCATGGATTTCCAGCTATTTCCGCAAATTTCTATTCTGGCATTGTTCCGCTCTTTTCCAGGCTAGATTTGAAATTCCATACCATTCCAAAAAAGTTCCGTCCCAATACTCTCGAGAATTCCTCGGAATTCCATGGAACACTTTTTCCATGGAATTCCACGGAATTTATTATGGAATTTCACGGATCTTACGGAAAATCTACATTAGGGTAATTAACAATTTTTCTCAGTGGTCTACTTTATGCCCGATTATAAGTGGTCTCATCAATGGCCATATTTAAGTATAACATATGTATAAGTACAGGTTGCTATAGCAGACAAAGGTAAATATAATAAAAATCTAAGTGCAAGGTACTTTATCACTGATGGAATGTTAATTAGGGCCTGCATGAAATGATAAAGCTCTATAGGATTCACATATTGTCCACTGTGAATATGTGAATCCTATAGGGCTTTATCATTTCATGCAGGCCCTAATTAACATTCCATCAGTGATAAAGTACCTTGCACTTAGATTTTTATATTTACCTTTGTCTGTTATAGCAACCTGTACTTATACATATGTTATACTTAAATATGGCCATTGAGGAGACCACTTATAATCGGGCATAAAGTAGACCACTGAGAAAATTGTTGATATCAAGTATATACAGTATATAAATACACCATTCTAATGATCTCATTTACTGTATGCATCAATACCCTGTTTAGTATTACACTGCATAAATTAAAACTTGTTTATTGTGTCACAACTGAAGTGTTAATTACTGGCTGAAAGACATAAAGATGGACAATGTGAATCCTATATAGCTTTAACATTTCATGCAGACCCTAATTAAAATTCAATGAGTGATAAAGTACCTTGCACTTAAGATTTTTATATTTACCTTTTGTCTGCTATAGCAACCTAGTTCTTATACTTAAATATGGCCAATATGGAAACTGCTGATAATTGGGCATAAAGTAAACCACATAGAAAAAAATTAATATACTTAATGGGAAAATTTTATTGTACTCACTGTTAATAGCAAGTACATTTATATGCATGTATTATATAATATATACAGTGGCGCCTTGTTGATCCGGACGCCTCTTTGGCGTAAGTTTGTTAAAAATAATATTGATTAATTTTGAACTGTTTCTTATTTAATTAATGCACAGTGTAATGGTGTAAGCTAAATTCTTCGAGCTTCATATTAGATGTGTAATTTAATTGGGGTAAATACACGCTAATTTTAGATGCTATTGTTTGTAGGTCACAGGTATCGCCTTCAAACTGACTGTATGGCCAATTTTTTACTACAATTAACACTACTGCAAGATCAGGGGTTGAAATATACGGTAGCCCGACGCCCCGGGGCTAGTTATTTTAAGACTGGGGCTAGCTTATTTAAATGTAATGATAGTCTGTCGGACTAGCAGAACAGAAAAAAAAATTATCTTCAGTTTACTTTCATTTTTCTATGAAGACTGGTTTCTTTTGACTGAGAACTAGTTTAATTTGTTTCTGTCACCAAAACATTCAAAACTTTAACTTTTTGTTTTCATTTTGCATAAAAAAATTGTTGGGCTAGTTAGTTTGGGCTAGTAATTTTTTCCTGATCAGTAGCCCCTGCGCTAGTGGGATTTCCAGGAAAATTTCAACCCCTAAGTGTGAAAAAGTCATTTCTTGAAAAATTACCGTCCGGATAAACGATTCATTTTTCAATGAACTATTACGTTTTGTAGCAGAAATCGACCGTCCGGATGCGGAACACATTTTTCTGGATTAATGAGACAGAATGACATGGAAAAAATCTATTCCCGAAAATAGCATCTGGAAGGTGAAGTGTTCGGATAAACATGGCGCCACTGTATATACCATAAATGACTATGACCTATGGTACATATTGTCAGAGAAAAACAATCAATTAAAGCTGAACACATCTCATAAATAGGCATACACCATATTCGATTATATACCATCTACTATATCAGCACCAGGGTATACTCTTCGCATTTGTTACACCTGACTGCTTTATTGTCACAGGTATCGGAGTGGAATGGTGACACATGCTCATGCTGGTTACCTGGCATTGCCTTTGTTTATTTATTTTATTGCAGTTGCGTGTACTTGTGTATGTTTGTATACTGCACTGACCTGTGCAACTGTTGTAAGTTTCATTGGCATCTTTCTCTCCTGCCGTACGTGACAGAAGTACACAGTAATTTTTTGTCGCTACCGAGAGCTATGTAGCATACGTCAGTCTGTCTATACAGACAGGTGACAACAGATTACACTGAACAGTGACTAAGCGAGTGGCTTATATAGGGACCCTACAACATAGCGTGAATAAAGGAATATGGTGGAAAAATTCCTTTTACACAGTGTGTTCAGATTTAAAATCACTAACTTTAAAGCAAACTAATGGATTACATACCTTTTCCCATAATTCACTTCAAATTCCTACTCATCATGTACGGCTACTTCAGAATCTCACATGTATACATTCTTTGACTTTTCTACAGGAACATTATTCCTACAATGTACAATCACATTTTAAAACATTCAAATATTACTTCCAATTGGACATAATTGGTAGTTCACAAGCTAGAAAGCTCACTCAGTAGTTGGATTGATTGTTTAATTGTATGTCGTTTTACATCCTGTTTAAGAATTTTTCATTAAAATAGAGACGTCACCATATAATGGTCAACAATCTTTTCAACTGTTTTTTCTAAAGATATTTCAGGCTGTCTTTACTGTAATTGTCATCAGTCAACATTACCACCCATTGTGGTATACTGGTCCCGATTTGTTTTCATAGGATTTAAGTTTTAGTTTGTGTGATAACTGGATATCAAAAAGTTTCAAAGTAGAGTGTCATGAGCTCATCAATGCTAATTATCAAAACACTACTTCTAGAAAATCAAAACATTTTAGTTAAATTAACCATTCAAAGTATTTTTTGAAAAGTAAAACAAAGGTTAAGGTCAAGTGAACTGTAATGCTGGTATTTTTCATTATAATTTATGACAAATTGTGCACATGCTAAATAGCATAGACTTACCTCTTTTAAATTATCAAAAATATGCTGAATATTGGCACTAACTTTTTTATAAGTAGGTCAAAGGTAAGTTCAAGGGTCACAAGACTGGCAACCATGGTATTTAAAAAAAGTCACAGTGCCAAGCAAAATATTAACCAAATATCAAAAACAATTAAACCTCTTACAATTCTCGAGATATAAGGTGTGAAAGATGGACAGACAGACAGATGCCAGGTAAATTGATCCCTAGGTGTTGCACTGCTGTGCAGTCGACTCACAAAAAATGTTCTTACAGGGATAGACATTAACTTTCAGATTTTCTTGCCCTTCAGGCAAGTGATCTCAAACTTTGACTTGTCCGAACTCAAAACTTGGTTGCCCAAAATAAGGAAAGAACTTCAGAAGAAATTTCTTATTACTGTAAATGTTATGACAAGAAAAAATGTGCCCAAATACACTACCATCAATTTGGCAAGGTGAGGTACCTGAAAAAATTTAAATGCTGCATTTGTACATAAATGTATACCACTGTCCTTGTAAATTTAACCTGTTAACACACACTGTCATATACATGTATCAATAACCCTCCATTTAATAAATAAAATTCATATTTTTAAAATTTTTTTTTGGTAGGATTCTTTTCTGAATTGTGATTTTCTGAGATAACTGTGAAACAACGCTGAAGGAAGATAGTTGCTACGTAACACACCTTGATCAGGATACATCGTGTTACACTGTACTTATATTCTTTGAGTAAATAAATTATCTAATGTCCAAATAAGAAGTTAAGAAAAATGTTAGACAGTGAATAGACGAACAGTATATTTACCAGGGAAAAACGGAATAACGAACCCGATTTTCAAATGAAAGGTATAATCCAAAAATGCTGACAAGGAATTCTGAATGCAAAAACATTGTCAGTCAGGTACCTGGCGGAAATCAAGTCTTCAATTTATTTTTTTTTTATATATAAATTAATGTAAAATAAATAAATATGTACATTTCTATGAAAAAAAAATCACTTGCCCAATCAGACAAGTACGTCGCAAGATTCACTTGCCCGAACTGAGAATTTACTTGTCCCGGGCAATTGGACAACCGTTAATGTCGATCCCTGTGACTTGTTTATCATTGGAATGACTAGTAAACACCAAACTGAACTTAACCTGCTTAAGTGAGCCAGTAGTGCCCAGTACAGAGCAACAAGTGCTGTGAACAGCGAGTGAAGTGTGACCGATTGATTGACTGTTGTTTTATGTCCCATTCGAGAATTATTTCACTCATAAAGAGTGAAGGGTTAAATATTACAATAAAATGTAAGGAGGCAAGTCTGCCTCACCATAACCTGGTTCTTTGTGACCCTATTTTTAACCTTCATACCCATCTCCACTGGGAATTCATTTCCTTCTCCCCCCCCCCTCCCCCAACAATCAAGACATGACTCCATAAGCAGCCAAAGGCTGTAATGGGCAGCTAGTTCATTAACAGCTAGGGCTATCAGGAATTCAAAGTCACTGAAGTTCTTTTGGTTTTTATGATACTATCAAACTATCAGTCTATCACTGAGTATCTGCATGCTTTAAAAGTAAGTATTTACCCCTGATTTCCTTTAATTAAAGCTTTTGTGTCTATTTTCTGCTAACAATTTATTTACAGTTTATAACTAATAAAGCAGCAAATATACCTTACCCCATGTTGCAGATTCTCTTCATCCAAGTAATTGATGTAATCTCTTCATCTGTTCATCTGGATACTTTCACTGCATTCAGACAGTACCAGTAACTGTTATATATGGATATATTTCCTTGTCAATGCTGTCACTTTTTAGGCACAATTGCTAAGTTTGCATCTTTATCAGCATTATTTATTAATGAAATGACAAATTCCATCAGACACACATGCAAAAATGAAAACAAAATCTATTAATTTACATATAATCATGTCCATATTCTCTTGACTTCATTATTGTATAATTGAACTGTTTTATACTGCACTGCAAATATAAAGGGCTGGGATAATACACTTTTGTCTACTATTCTCTATCTAAATAAATATACTATATTTATTTAGGTATCACAATATTTATGCTACAATACAGATCACAATAATTTTAATCGGTTATAATTTTTTTCATTTTATATTAAAATGAGACAAAGTTTGACACCATGCATATCCAAAGTCTCTAAAAATTTACAATTTTAGTCATGTGTATATGTGTTATGCAAGGGTGTATCTGTCAGTATTTCCAAAATTTATCAAGCATGACATTTAAATTGATACAAATATTTTGATTTCAGATTTTCTTTTTCATGAAGTTCGACTTAAATATTCTTTGATAATTTTTAAATCAAAATAAAATCAAAAACTTTTAATTTCTTCATTTTATTTGCTTGGAAAATAATTATTTTTTTCTTTTGTATTTGTACGAGTATTTAGTTTCAAACTAGTTCTACATGTATATTAGCTAATCAGTGAAAATCTATATGTTTGATTTACTTCAGTTTACATGCCTGTGTGTGCATTATATTACAAATCATGGGATCTGTGCTTGTAGGTGCACTCAATGTTTTAAAGTTATTCATAATTTGAGAATTATTGTCTCTTTTTTTTATTGTCAGTATATTTAAACCAATATTTTTTGGTTTTACAAAATAATATGAATCTTCTTTCATAAAAGAGATGATGCGAATTATAATTTCAATTTTAATTTTGTTTATATATTGTTGCTGTGATCTCAATAACCTAGATAGAATGTTCTAATCATTAAAATGATATTGTCCTATGGACCTGGATTAACGATAGAATTCGTTCCGTGTATTGGCAATGTAGCAAAATAAGCAAGTTCGATAACTCGAACTGACTGCATTTTCTATGAACAATCCAGAGAGTTCCGAATTCAACATGGCGTGTAAATTTGAAGTGAGGAAAAAAGGTTGAGAAAATGAGTTGAATTTTCTTATTTATATGGATTATTTTTTAGGTTAAAGGGCATATAAAATCTCAAAAAGGTTTGTTATGATTAATTTGATAGTTATTTTCAGTGCAATTTTTTTTTGTACTCTTCAAAATCATTTCTGAGCGGATCCTTTCCAATATGCTACATTGCTAGTATATGGGACATATAAACTGTGGTGATCGAGGGCTTGTTCCGAGACAGAGTTAGATTGTTCTAACTAGCAATAACCCAACACATGTATCTTGTAAGTCGAACACATGTATTTCGCAAATTCAGTAAATAATTCTAAAAAAAAGAAGAAATCTTGTAAAAAGGTATTCCATAGAGAAAATTACCCAGAATATGTTGTAGCATAACAAACACTGACATATACTCGAACAAAACTTAAGTATGAAAAATAATCAGATAATGGGTCAAAATCACACCAGTGACCACCTACCCTAATCAACTGTTATCCACAAAAAAATATATATACTTATATGTCAATCTACTTCCAAAATTACATGTTTTCCAAGATCTTACAAAATTATTTTTACAGTATGTCTCTTCAAATATTTGTTTTCCTGCTTAATAGTACTGATCATACTGATCAGACGATAATGGGTGGGTGATATTAAGATAGTATACCCTCATAAACTTTTAGTCCCAGACCTATGAACTCATAGAAACGTCATAGAAACAAATAAATATGACTATAAATAATTCTCTTTTCTTACCATTATGGATGTTGTACATGTCCCTTTCGATAATGAAAAAAATCTTTTTCTGTCAACTTCTCATTTTCTCACCCGCCTTTTTCTTGCTAATCTTCTCTCCAACATACTGGAGAAGGTATTCTCGCATGTTATGTGGTACCGAACACACTATAATAAAAATAAATGCATAAATGCAAACAAGTCAACAAAATCTAATTTATTCAGAGACTTTTATATGTCTCAGACTGTCATAAATCTCACCCTAGGCATCTTCGCTAGCCAAGGGTTTCTGATACGCTACTCTCCTTATAAACTTATGAGGAGAGTAGCGTATCAGAAAACCTTGGCTAGCAAAGATGCACCATAGACAGTTAAAATTTTCCTCAGAAATCTGGTCAGAATTTTAAAACATAATTTCAAAAAAAAAAAAAAAATTCATGGGAAAATATACGGCATATAAATAGCCATTGTACAAAATGCAGGAAACTTTCCCGGAAAGTTTAGAAATTGAAACTGTAAAAATATTATCATACCATCAAACCATGTCCATGCTGATCAAAAGACTCAACATTATCTAACCCGATCAAAATTAAAATGAACCCGACCGAAAGTTTCTAATGTACATATACATGTAGATATACAAGTAATACATGTAGACTCTGCATAATAATTTTATTAAAATAAAAAAAAATATTGCTTGTTATATGGTTTTATAACTAAATTGAGAGTATAAGCAAGTTAATTTCTCCATGGCAACTGCATAAGATAAACAGTATCTTTTTCATTATATGTAAAAAAAAAATGCTTAAATTGATCAGGATCTGTTTCATATGAATCAGGACTTGTTCAAGCTTGACAACAAGCAATTTTTCTTCGGGTCTCTTTTATTATTTAATTTCAACTTCTTTTTGAAATTATGATTATCTTCTAATATTTCTTTTCAAAATTAAACACTTAATAGGTTTATAAATAAATGAAACATTAAAAAAAAATCAATATTAAATACAGGCCCATAAGAAGCAATTAACGGTGGTGATGTTAACTGAGTCTACTATTATAGAAAAAATATTGCAAGAATTATACAGTATATCTTTCGTTACTCAATCATGGAAAGTGTAATACATATAACTATTAACTGATATGCTCATCTCTGATATAACCTGTTAATTAATCCTCCATTCATGCCAAAAGGTACAGTGTAATAGATTGATTAGAATATCATTGGCGTATAATAATATTATTACTTTCTACTACATTTAATGTGTCGGCTAGTGTGATGTCACAGATTTAACTTGAGGCGCAAATAATGGGTAAGCAAGGAGGCTGATGCAGACCTAAAATAACACTTGAATTTTGGCTTAATTTTTATTTCCAGTTATAGGATTATTTTTGTCATTAAACAGAAAGTTAGACTGTAAGTATGGGTACAAAAATGCGCATTGTCAAAAATGCTTTTTTTTTTGGCATTTGCAACAAAATGAAATTAATAGATAACATTTATCATCAACTCCCCCCCCCCCTCCTTTTCAACCAAATTTCTATCCTTAAAAAAATGATGTGTAGCCTACAGCCTTTTTACATATATGGAATATACACCACAAAATATTTCCACACATCCTGCACCCAAACTCCACTTCTAACCCGATTAAAAATATTAATCTGGTCCCTTCGAATTTTTTAGCAGTTTGTAGCCCTTAATTCCTCTTTATTTTTAAAGATATTTCAAAATTGTTGCTATATTGGGCTTGTCCAAATCAACTTTATGTTTTATGTACAAGAAATCTAAGAGGGATGCTGTCAGATACATAAATTTGTATGTACATATATGCATGCATGTATCCGCTGCCATAGACATCAGAGATGTGGTATCGTGGTTGGAGGGGGTGGGGTGGGGGGCTCCCCCAATAAATGAATAAGCACAGATTACAATTATTTTGTTCAAGTAATCAATTGTTAGGAACCAGTAAGTTGTAAGAACTTGTTTCCGATCCATTTGCTTATGTCAATAAAATATGTTCAAAACAAACAAACGATCTGTTGAAACCACGCTGTTGGTAAACTACAATTCGAATTTCCTCCATGCTAATAAGTATACGTAAGTCTTTATCAATGAATAAATACCAGACGTTAACCGCAAGATATTGGGTGCATAATATAAAGTCAATGTATCATGAATAAGTATTTTTAAAAAAATCATAATTTGTTATTACTTACCAAAATTTTGTCTGACTCCTATTTCTCCGAAGGTCGTAAAGGATACCGAGGATTTCCGAAAATTTTCGGAAGGCATTGCGCACGAAAACCTTGAAGTTGATGAACACGAAACTCTAAAGCTCATTTTCTCGTAAAAAGTTTTATTCTATTTAGCAAATTGTACATACCCAAAATTATTGGGAGAACAATATCTAAAACTAAATACTAGGAGAAATAAGACATATATAGCAGATCTTACTTAATATTGCAAGTTTTAGCTGGTCTACATAATGACGATATATAATAATACCAATATATACGTTGCTTGAAATTAAAATTTAAAAATTTCTATAATCATAAATTTTTGGCATATTTTTGGTATTTAAGGGACAAAAAGATACTAAACTAAAATTAACTATTGTCAATTTAATATTAAAAAGACATTAATTTTCTGTTCAGAGAGGGTCAAAATGTTAAGGCGACCGGTTTTGGTCTACTTATTCTACGAGGCTACTTAATGCCAATATATAAATATGAGCGGTCTCCTAAATGGCACAACCATATATATATATATATATATATATATATATATATATATATATATATATATATATATATATATATATATATATTCACATTGTATGTAGAAATAAACGTGCTGAAATACGTAACTTACAACATGTTTTACATGTTTTTAATATACTAATGTAACCCGGGGTTACATTGGGTGGTCTCTTAAATGGTACAGTCAGAATGACACTGATGTAAAGTTTTCCCTATTTATTGGTTTTATAAATCTCTAATAGGTATTTCGTTGATCCTGTAACATATATGTAGTATAAGCATAATAAACAAAATGTAAGAAAGATAAATCTCTCGTTTATGTTTTCAAATAAGATAAAATATTAGTTAACTCCCTTTACAGATAAGACTTAAAATACTTGTGTTTATCATAATTATCTATTTATCTGCTTTTTTTTTGACACAATGTATAATGAAAATACTGATACAATTTTCATTGCGTACTATTATGTAAACCTTATTTTACATGACTGCATAGAGAATATATTTACATGTATGTTTCGTTAAATTTATGATGTAGATATATATGTATATAAATCTCAAACATTATTATGGTTACCTGACATGAGGTGTTAAGTCGTAGAACAATAATGTATGCGGCTCTTATATCATGAAACCTATGTCTAATAAATACACAGCTGTCAGCTGTTTAGTTCACTTTTGCTTTATATACTTCAAAAACTTTTTCTATCTTTGAAAATCAATGTAACACTAGCATTACCTTCTAATGTGATCAACAATTAGAAGAGAAGAGGTTTGGATTATTACAGAAACAGATATTTTTGTATTTAATATCAAAACATATTGATGAATATACATTCAATTGACCTAATTATAAAAAATGTACTCTAGACAAAAATATCTCAAAAACACTGAAAAAAAAAAAAAAAAAAAAAAAAAAAAACACTTGTCAAAAATGATTGCAGACACAGGAAATAAACAACGCAATTGAAAAATCTCATTTAAATACATAGAAAAATTTATCAAACTCTGTGCAGCTGATTATAATTGACCGATTGAAAACAAGAAAATGTACTCCTTCTAAATATATATCTACAGTGTCTAAAGTTTAAAATATCAACATCATTTGTTAAGGTAACGTTCGGTTCTATAAAGATATAATAGATATATTGATATGTTTCAAATAATAATTCAATCAATAAGGAACACAAAATATTCTTCAGAATAATTTGATTAAAATAATTGGCAAATTTCACTCTGTCACAATTTAATTCAATACAACAATGACTTATGGTGAATTCAAGTAATTTTAGCTATTGTCAATTGTCAGAACATTTTAAAAAAAATGACACATAAAATGTTATGTCTCGTAAAAACGGTTAATATTTATTGATTTTTAATTACTCTGAGATAAGAAGACACTTATAGAAAACATAGATCAGAGTGAACATAGCAAATATTAAACAATTTGATTGAAAGAGTAACCTTTCCAAACAAGTTATTTTCAATAAATGTTGCTAACTTTTTTTTTAATACAAGAATTTTCATCCATACTAATTTGTGCTTCGTCAGGTGTAAGGCCAGTTATCTCTATTAAACGTTCTCTTGTGTCCACGCTCCTCATTCCTATCTGTTCTATAAAATAGATATACCAGACACATCAAAAAATGAATACATAATAAACACACACAAACTAAGATAAAAGATGGATATATGTGTACTTACGGCTGCATTTTCTATGTACGCTGCATTTTTTATAAAGACATAGATGGTAGACACTAACACCACTTATCATAGTCAGTAGCAATAACATGAGCCCTTGAAGAAAATGAGAAATACGAAATTCTCCGTAATAATCTGCACTTACTGATCTGAAAATAGAAAAAAAACAGATCAGCTACAGTTTGTGTGCAGCTTTTTTCTACATAAATTGAATATAAAATAATGTAAACCCCCTTTTCTACTAAACACAATAATTAAGACGAAAAAGAGACCCATCGACCACGCCAAATTTTTAAAAGTAATTTCAGTCAGTTCATCAGTTCAGTTTTTTTTTTTTATCAGTAAATGTTTTCCTATATTCATTTGGTATTTGTTAAACACTTATCTTCTATGAAATGACCAGCCATCTATCGTGTTCATGTATTGGACAAGCTTAAGAGATAGACGGGCGATCACCAGACAACATGTGATCAGAAATCCAAAGATTTAAAACCTAGGAAGCTAAATTTTTATGAAAATGATTCCTTTCATAAGGAAATACTTGAATAAACAAGAGGCCACAATGCTCACCTGAGTCAATAAAGCCATGCTGTTCTTAATCAGCAGATTTTATTCTTGTTCATATATATTCCAATACAGTGAAACTTGTCTAATCTGGATGTTGTGTATTCCGAAATCTTGCCTAATACGATGTAAACTCAAAGTCCCTTTCAGTAATTTCAGTTGTTTAAAATGTTTTCTAAATCGAAAAGTTGTCTAATCCGACCAATTTCCTTGAAACCAGTGGTGGCCTGATTAGACAAGGTTCACTGTATAACACTTTGTGACTCCATTCTTACAATTTAAACACGCTTGATTTTACACTACTTTAGGATGCTTCTTTATAGTATGACTAATCACGCCGTTGCTATTCTTGCGAAGAAACTTTAAAGATTTTTCCCTATATATCCCTATTTAAAACTGTGATTGTTTATTGTGACCCCATACTTAATCCGAGAGTCATGATTTGAAAAAATGTCAATCTTAAGTACCTAAGGATTCTTCCATATCAATGACAAATTATGCCTTTGCCGGAAGATTTAATTTTTTCAGATTATATTTATTTATATATTACTATGTTAAGTTCTGGTTACCCATTGTGGCCCCAGCGTTACCCCGGGATTCATGAGACTTAATTTTCACTGTGTAATAAAGATTTCACATAAGTTTCCATTTTTTCTGTCCCTATGGTACAAGTGAAGAAAATTTTTAACAGATGCCATGTAACTTTCACAAATTCTTAACTATTTGCCCTTGGATTAGTGCGTGGATTTTTATTTGAACTAACTTGATTCTTACCTACCAAAGAATGCTTTGTAACAAGTTTGGTTGAAATTTGCCTAGTGGTTCTCAAGATTTTGAAAATGTGAAAAATTTAAAGCCAGACCGATAAAGGATGTGAGATTTGAACTGAACAACACAGAAAGAAACAGGTGTTACAGATAAAATAATTTCTAAATACAGACATTGAGAATAACCTTGTAAAGGATGGTATGTATTACATAAATGGATAATTTAGTAAAACTAACACTCTACCTTTTCAAAATGACAAATTTACTAGCCAACACTGCTAAAACAGAGATGAACACCCTCTGATTATAAGTATTTAACCCTAAGAATTTCTGAATTTTAATCATAAAATGAAAACATTGTTTCGCATTCAAAAGGGGCTGGGGGAGGGGGAGGGCTCTGGCTTGTTGCATTCTCATTCTGTTAAGGTTTATTCAGTCTTTATATATAGCATAAAATAAAATTTATCATTTTATCAATAAAACTTGATTAACTTAATTTGAGCATGCTACTTCCTGTCAAACTTGGTAAATATGTAATTAATATGAAATTGTTTTATTTTAAATTCATTCAATATATGGCAAGAATTAACACAATCATAACATATTTCATAATCACATAAACCTATTAATCTTAATCTGACCATACTTACGTTTTATCATCAACACCAGACATTTCTGTCGTTACTTGTCTCCGATTTGCATACAAATAGCATTCTGAAACTTTAATTTTGCAAAATTAATAATAAATATCTTGACTATCGAAATGACAATAATACTTCAGCTAGTCCATCACTTTTTTTTTGTAAAGATTTCATTTGAGAAAAATAAAACAAACATACAAAAAGTTCTCAGTAAGGCATGGAAGTCATATGAATTGTAACAGTAGCTAGGAAATATTCTTAGCTATAGAATGTACTCAATTATTAATCATATAAAAAATAATAAATTTTGAAAACAAAATAGTTGCTAGGGACATAAGATGTGGTATAAAAATACCATTCTCCCCCACTTACCCTACCTGTGATAAGTTAAACAGACCGTGCTGAAACTCTTTATTGGAAAATTAAATAGATATTATACTGAAAAAAACTCCCCAGATAAACCGACCACATAGGCAGGGTGATTTGAAATAATTGTATGATAAATATTATATTATATATATATATATATATATATATATATATATATATATATATATATATATATATATATATATATATATATATATATATAAAATCTTGCCACACGGGTTACTTTCAACTTGGGTATCCTTATACTTCCGACTCAGTGAATTGATGAGGTTACGAGTTACGAGTTTCAATTATTCTAAATTCATTAGACACTACATGCAAACAAAGGGAGAAAATATTTAATGTAATTTAATAATCAATTTAAAAAGGTCAACGGGTAATTTAAATAAATATGATAATCTTCCAAGGAGGAATAAAAAAAAATTATTACAGATATTAACTTGATTAAAGTTCATTTCAAAGTTCATTTTATTTGACTTAGATTTTGTTTGCATGTTACATTTGTAGGCCTCCGTTGAACGGTATGATTGTGGACAATGTTTACACTCTATTGGGCTATCTTGAATACTTTTTCTTCCCTGGTTGAATTCAGCACAAGATCCTACAATTTAAAGTAGTATATAAATGTACATATAGATAAGGTATCTTTTTACCTAGAAAAACAAAAGGTATTGTTAGGGTTCAATGTTACGCAATAATTAATATAAAAGTAGACAATAAAACATATAAATGAATCTAAATTGTGTAAAACCAAAATAAGAGTATATGAACGTTCGTGTTTTCTGAAAAAAAAAAATACCAATGATTTGTCGAACTGGCGCGCACACTTCTAGTGTAGCATTTGCCCACTCGTTAATTAAGCAGTGATAGTCAAAGTCGTCTTCTGATTTGGTACATAACTGTTTAATGGCCCCACATTGCTTTCCTTCCACTCTTTTAAGCCAATCTTCTTTTGTAGAAGGGCATTTTGGTACATATGCAATAGTAGGAAGAGTTTCCAGGCAAGTGTCAATATTCTGTCATGATAAACAAGATTGCTTATCCATTTTTTTTTCAATTGTTTTCAATGTAGAACAGAGTAATTAAGATCTTCAGGCGTTCTAAAGCATTGGCGTCGAGAGCAAAGAAAATAATGACAAATATTGACATAAACAGAACCACTAGAGGTACTGCACAAATATCCCAAATATCTCTTATCATGAATGTAGAATGTTCAACCCAGCTCCGTTAAGGAATGCCTAAGTTTACATTTGTGAGGCACCGTGTAGCAAGTATCATTGTGACATCATTAAAATTAAAACATTGAAATTTAAACAAGTAACAAAAATAAATTAAACCGCATGATGATGCGTAAATGAAAGGTTGCATGCGTTTGTTTTCTTTATTATTTATTAGGGAATGCAAAATCTCAACATATAATAACAATACTGCCAAGTATTTAGAAACAAAACTTGTGTCATGTCTTGACTTGACGCAGTACAAGTGATCCAAAAGAGTGGATCCATTTGTTAAACAATTACAAATTTGTTTAAATAAATACAAAATCAGCGTCAATATCTAGATCTAATGATTAAAACTAAAAACAAAACATTTCTTAAAAACAATTGTTTACATAATTAATTTATCAGACCTTATAAAGCTGCACAGCGTTGGAGAATGCAAAGAGTACGATAGTCATATTTCCGATAAACCTCAGAAGTGCAAGGGCATACACCAGACTGTTTATGCCGAAATACGAACTATCAATTGCTCATATCATGTTTATTCAAAAAAAGTGCTGGGAGTTGATTCGATTCTGAAGATTTTTTAAAAAATTCATTACAATGTAGAGGCGAAGTGGCACACGCATTATCGGCAAAATTACGAATACTTCCTAAACAACAGAAACTAGCTCCCAGCACTTTTCAGGTAAAGGATATTTTTAATGTGTATCAACTTCTGTGGCCAAAAACAAGTAGTTGACCTTGCACTAGACAGATTTTCTAGATTCAGCCTAACAATTCTATTTTATACCAGTCTCATGACACACAGCTGATACATGTCATGTAACTGGTACTTTGTTTGTTTGTTTGTTTATTGTTTAACTTCCCTCTCGAGAATTTTTCACTCCTATGGAGAGACCCCTACTTGCCGTTTGAGAACTGCAAATTTTTTCCTATATTTGGCACTAAGGGCTATTTAGCAGTGAGGGATCTTTTTCGTGCCAACACCTACTGCGACATGGGACCTCGGTTTATACGATCTCCACTGTAAATGGTACCAAGTACGACACAAACCTATTCATTATACGTAACTATGTTACATGTTCTACAAATTTATAATTAACTATTTTTTATAGTGATTATGAAATGCAATACATATTGAAAAGGTATTATGGTCATATTTCACATTACCGTCCTTAACAGAGCTGAGAAGACATGCATACGAATTTCTTACTCATTGATTAATATTACCTGTGTCAGGCATATAAATGCAAATACAGAATTCCACCAAACATAGATCTTCATGACATATCAATTAATGATATCTGAAAAGTAAATCTAACGTCTACATGTATAAAGATGATTTTTTGAACACTAATATCTATCTATCTATCTATCTATCTATCTATCTATTTAATATATATATATATATATATATATATATATATATATATATATATATATATATATATATATATATATATATATATATATATATATATATATATATATATATATATATATATATATATATATATATATATATATATATATATATTAGGAATGGCAATCGAATACAGAATTGCTAATCGGTTAACCGCAAGGCGTTCCGACAGATTAACCGGTTAATCGTATCAAACTACACTTTTTCTGGACTTTTTTCAAGCAGCTCTATTCCTACGCACAAGAAGTTTATATATATATATATATATATATATATATATATATATATATATATATATATATATATATATATATATATATATATATATATATATATATATATATATATATATATATATATATATATATATATATATATATAAACAGTGTGATCCAAAATATCTGATACTAATTTTGACTTTCAATTACTTTGTCAATAATCATTCCACATATTTCATTTATACATCATTTTAAACTGTGATACCTATCATCTTAATAAATAAGTAAATACAGGAAAACGTTGGCTTCGTCATGACGTTATGACATCATAAAACTGTTATTGTTTATTTAACATAGATGTATCAAATTAGAGAGCTGCAGAAATTGTCCAATTATATTTTGAGACACATTCAACCATAACAGTGATTTATATAATGGGAAAAATACATCCATTGGACACTAAGCTTACAAAACTGCAGGTTCACAGGTTAGTGAAAAGATTTTAATGGACTGGAGAAAGTAGAAGAAAAAAGAAAAGCCATTGCATGATGATAAAGTGACAGTTCTGCTGGAGTCATTTAGCCATTTTTTTTTTTCGAAATCAGTTGCAATGGAGAGGTGAAAACTGTTAACAGTGACCGTATATACTTTTCTTTTCAAATATATATAAAGACTGCATGTCAAATTGCTTTTGTACTTAATATACAACAAGATGTGTTTGTGAAACACTGATGCTCCCGTATGGCAGGTTATATATAGCAAGGATTAATTTTCTTAAATGCAAATCAAGTATGTTGGTTCCCAAAATAAAATCTTGTCTAGGAGAATATACCTGTGTTATATGAAAGCAATAGCAGCAATCATTGAAAGCATATGGAAAAGGTTATAGTTTTTTTTTTCAAAAGTGAGTCAAACATCAAGATCACTGTCAAAATTGTTGCCCAAGGAAAGGCCTTCTTACCAGAAATAAACATGTGAAATATGAAAGCCCTAGCACCTACTATTCAAATCTTATGGCCAAGGTATTTCAAAGTTTTTGAAAATTTTTCAAAAGTAGGTTAAACTCCAACGTCAAGGTCAAAGTTGTTGGCATCCAAAGTAAGGTCATGTCACAAGGATTAAATATTTGAAGTGTGAAATCCTTAGCAACAACTGTTCAAAAGTAAAGGACAAGATAAAAGTTTTCCAAAAAGTAGGTCAAACTGTACGATCAAAGTAAAAAGGTCAAAGTTGATGGTATACAAGGGAAGTTCTTGTCACAAGAATTACATATGTGAATTGTGAAAGCCCTAGCGCCAACTGTTCAACAGTTATGACCAAGGTTAAAGTTTCCGAAAAGTTGGCAAAACTGCATGGTAAAGGTCAAAGGGTCAAAGATGTTGTTATCCAAAGGAAGTTCTTGTCTCAAGGATTACATATGTAAAGTATTAAAGCCCTTGCGCCATATGTTGAAAAGTTATGGCCAATGTTAAAGTTTTCCAAAAGTAAGTCAAACTCTTAGGTCAAGGTCAAAGGGACAAAGTTATAGGTACCCAAAAAAGGTCTTTTCACAAGGATTACATATGTGAAATATGAAAGCCCTCGCCCAACTGTTCTAAAGTTATGGCCAAGGTTATTGTTGGTTTTTTTTTTCAAAACTGGGTCAAATTCCAAGGTCAGAAAGGTCAAATATTATGGTACCCAAAGAAAAGTTTTGTCACAAGGAAAACACATGTGAAATATGAAAGCCATAGCTCTAACCAATCAAGTTATGTTAGTTATGAGCAAGGTTTAAGTCTTTAAGTCTTTTAAGACAAACAAAGACAGACAGACAGACAGACAGATAGATAGATAGATAGATAGATAGATAGATAGATAGATAGACGGACAGACATGGTAAGAACTATATGCCCCCGAATCTTCAATTACAGAAGCATAAAAATAACAGAAAAGACTGTAACATTGCTTTTGTATTTAATATACAAATATTGACTGGGGTTGAGGGCATCATTGATTATATTAGCCCCAAAGGAATGAAATATTGAACCGAGCGAAGGGCAATATTTTCGTGCCAAGGAGATTAACATAATCAAATTTGCCTGAAAACACACTCAGTCATTAATTGTTTTGATACAGGAAAAACAGATCAATCAATATTTTTTTTTATATGAAAAACAACATGAATCAACACAATAGTATTTTGTTATCATTCATAAACATTCAGCGTACACGTCATCGGAAACAAAGTCATTTAAATTAAATTACTTGTGTCTCATGCATTATCTGCAATTTGATTGTTTTTTTTTTTTTTAATTCTTGTTTGACTTTAGTAGTTGATTGTAACATAACAGTTTTTACAAAAAAAATTTTGCATTCCTCATGGACAGTTTTGTGTTCAAAATGGGTTGCTCTAAAACATTAAGCATACACCAAAGCAAATCAATATAATTTTTCTTTCAACCATTCATTACCTTTCAACAACGAAAACAAATAATTTGTATCCCATGCATTATCTGCAATGTCATTGTAGAGCTATCGCAAATCTTGCCATGTTTATATTAACTGGATTTTTACTGTGACATCATGCTTTTTGGACGTCGCGACGGAATCATTACGACACAATAAATCAAAATTGCTAAAAAAAAAAAAGTGGGAAAACTCTCTTTTCCGGTCAATAGTAAATATTAAATGACCGTCAATATTTTTCGGAGGAACTAATATCAATTATGTTGACTGTTTCTCTGTATAGAGAATATAGGGACTATTCTTTCCTGAATGTAACAATAAAGAATAATGAATACTTACATAAGTAACACTAAAAATTTGTGAAGACATGTACATATACCATTTAAGTATTTGAAGAAGTTTCCAGAAACTATTTATCATTTATCTCAGAAAGATGCATTCGTGATTCAAATAGAGTAAATATAATATGTTGATGAACATATGTAAGGTTTTCTGTTCAATAACGCGCAGTCTGTACAATGCATTCTTTCGTTATTATTGTGTCGACACAACATTATAAACAAATTTAAAAGGACTACATGAATTTTTCCGAACCATTGACCAACAATGTATCTGTAACGTTACTGTACTATGCATACACGACAACCTTCAGCGACATGTTACCTTGTCTAAATTCATCAATACTAGTTCATTTATTTAAAAGAAGCGATAGCGATTTTCACATTTTACTCAGTCATTTTTGACGTATGAAGCCATGAACAGGCGATCCAAATTATGTGTTCAATTATTATCGCCATTTTAAGTCATATGGTTTAGTTTTATATTTAAAAAAGTGTGGTAGAAAGGACAAAGACAACCCAACAATCTTTTAAGATTTAATGTTTCCGAGACTTACATTACTTCCAGCAAGATTATTACCTTGTTCTGTTCCTGTGAAAAATCTCAACTTTTGTGAATCCAGCCAAATGAGATAATAGGTGTTCACAATGCTTTTGAATATCTATAAAAAAAAATTGCTCTAAAATATACACACTATTTAGTTCCTTTCTTCAAATGAGAACTATTCATCAAAAATCAATCGTAAACATATTTCCCTTTTTATTTTGTAATTAAAGTGAAATAATTTAGAATAACATTTTTTATCTGCTCTTACATTTGATCAAAGCGTATTTTAACTTTTGACAGTAGTATTAAAATTTTAAACATGATTAAAAAAAAAACATACTTAAGAGGTACTCTATAAAAATGGCAGACCTACAAATTAATAGAACAGAGACATTACTTACTGTTCGGAAAACTTTTTCATCTACCTCAACTGAATGGATTTTGACATTTGATGTGTTTTGAATTACGAATTAAAAGCCTGTGT